CCAATTCGCATATCGCCTCAACAGATCCACAGATGACGCAATCTCTATTGCACTCCACACTGCCCTTTCCCACCAGAAAAAAGGAACACCTACGTTAGAATGCTGTTCTTTGACTACAGCTCAGCATTCAACACCATAGTGCCCTCCAAGCTCATAACTAAACGAAGGATCCTGGGATTAAACACCTCCCTCTGCAACTGGATCCTGGGCTTCCTGAGGGGCCGCCCCCAGGTGGTGAGGGTAGGCAACAACACATCTGCCACGCTGACCCTCAACACAGGGGCCCCTCGGGTGCGTGCTTAGTCCCCTCCTGTACTCCCTGTTCACCCTACGACTGTGGGGCCGCGCACGACTCCAACATCATCAAGTTTGCAGACGACACAACAGTGGTAGGCCTGATCACTGACAACGATGAGAGAGCCTACTGGGAGAGGTCAGAGACCTGGCAGTGTGGTGCCAAGACAACAACCTCTCCCTCAACGTCAGCAAGACAAGGAGCTGATTGTGGATTACAGGAATCAGAATGCCGAGCACGCCCCCATTCACATCGACAGGGCTGTAGTGAAGCAGGTCGAGAGCTTCAAGTTCGGAGTCCACATCACTGAGAATTATCATGGTCCACACACACCAACACATTCGTGAAGAGGGTACGACAACGTCTCTTCCCCCTCAGGAGGCTGAAATGATTCGGTATGGGCCCTCAGATCCTCAGTTATACAGCTGCACCATTGAGAGCATCTTGACTGGCTGCATCACCGCTTGGTATGGCAAAAAAAGCCATATTATAACATGTGTTGTGATAATTGCGTTGTTTGCTCTATAACCTGTTAGTTCATATGCCTTGTGACCGTGATATATAGGCCTAAAAGCCGAGACAATAAGAAGATACAGTGGCAGAATAAATTCAACCACACCTTTGTTTCATCACAAAACCGGAGAGCAACCTGTCTGGTGAAGTCCACAAAGCATATTGCATGTAACACACAGTTATAGTGCATTCGGAAAGTATTCAGACCCCTTCCCTTTTTCCACATTTTGTTACATTACAGCCTTATTCTAAAATTGATTTTTTTTTTATAATCCTCATCAATCTACACACAATACCCCATAATGACAAAGCGAAAACAGGTTTTTAGAAATGTTTGCAAATGTATTAAAAATAAAAAACTGAAATACTCAGACCCTTTGCTATGAAACTCGAACTTGAGCTCACGTGTATCCTGTTTCCATTGATCATCCTTGAGATGTTTCTACAACTTGATTGGAGTCCATCTGTGGTAAGTACAATTGATTGGACATGATTTGGAAAGGCACACACCTGTCTATATAAGGTCCCCCAGTTGGCACCTAAAGGACTCTCAGACCATGAGAAACAAGATCCTCTGGTCTGATGAAACCAAGATAGAACTCTTTGGCCTGAATGCCAAGCATCACGTCTGGAGGAAACCTGGCACCATCCCTACAGTGAAGCATGGTGGTGGCAGCATCATGCTGTGGGGATGTTTTTCAGCAGCAGGGACTGGGAGACTAGTCAGGATCGAGGGAAAGATGAACGGAGCAAAGTACAGAGAGATCCTTGATGAAAACCTGCTCCAGAGCGCTCAGGACCTCAGACTGGGGCAAAGGTTCACCTTCCAACAGGACAACGACTCTAAGCACACAGCCAAGACAACGCAGGAGTGGCTTTGGGACTAGTCTCTGAATGTCCTTGAGTGGCCCAGCCAGAGCCCGGACTTGAACCCGAACTAAAATCTCTGGAGAGACCTGAAAATAGCTGTGGAGCGACGCTCCCCATCCAACCTGACAGAGCTTTAGACGATCTGCAGAGAAGAATGGGAGAAACTCCCCAAATACAGGTGTGCCAAGCTTGTAGCATCATAAAGAAGACTCGAGGCTGTAATCGCTTCCAAAGGTGCTTCAACAAAATACTGAGTAAAGGGTCTGAATACTTATGTAAATGTGATATTTCCGTTTTTTTTATTTTATACATTTCTAAAAACCTGTTTTTGCTTTGTCATTATGGTATATTGTGTGTAGATTGATGAGGGGGAAAAAACTTTTTAATCCATTTTAGAATAAGTCTGTAACGTAACAACGTGGAAAAAGTCAAGGGGTCTTAATAAATTCTGAATGCACTGTTTATGACCTACAACGTGGTCAAGAAATGTTAACGTTTCTGACATTTTCGACCACTAAATAACTATTGATTTAGAACCACGGAGAGTTACCGCAAGTCGCAAAGAAAACAGGAGCTGCTTCCACTATTCGAGCACCACTTCAACTTCAACATTTCAACATCAAATCCCCTATGTTAGTCTTATAAAGTGACAACTGGAAGATACAAAAAACTATTTAGTCCAATCAACGTAAGCTAAATATAATGTGGCTGTCCATGGTTCTGATTTCGCTCTCTGTGTGTATGTTTGTGTGTGTGTGTGCGCGTTCGTGCAAGTAGAAAAACATGTTGACTCACCCTACTTGTAGAGAAACACCAATGCCATCCTCCTCTCTTTCATGTTGATGAAAGCGTCTATCACTCTGTCATACAGTACACACTTGTATTTTTTGTTGTTGTAGGTTTCCTGGCTAAAATACTTGCTCGCTAGACTAACATCCTTTCATGGGCAACGATGAGCCAGCAAGTTAACATTAGCATACTACATATAGCTACATATTGAACTTCCATCCTCTCAGGCCAGGGACACAATGTATGAATTAATGGTTGGATCAGAATCGCAGTTATAATCATTGGCCAGTATGGAGAATTAAGTAAAACCACAAGTCCAGATCCCTATCTCCATCCATGGCTAATTTAGGAAAAGGCCAATTTTAAGCTAGCTAGCTAGCCACCAGAGGACAACAACACAACAGAGATACAACAATTCAAGTTGTTTATGGCAATTATGTATGCTCTACATGCGATTTGATCGTAGTGAAGCCAAATCCAAACTGGCTTTCCTTTACCGTTTTTTTTAGTGCGCCAGGACCATTCACAGTTGAGCTCGCTCAGTTTAGCTCAACTCTGATTGGCTTTTTTTTAAATCAAGGGAGGCCAATGCTCGCTGGTTTCCCTTGCATTCAATGCTACGGGCGGCAACAATGTCATACTCTTTTGGACCAGACAACGTCAGATAGATGGCCTACACATACAGCGACACAGTGGCGCTGTTTCGGTCGCAGGGATGCTTTCTCCGGTGAGATATATTCAGCTTCTTGCGAATTGAAGGAAAAGTATGAAACAGACAGGCGAAATATAAATTATTGAATATGTTTAATATGGCTTCCCTTGGCATCCATGAATACACGCCACTGGTACGGATGCACCAAGTCTGGAACATGCAGGACCCTGAACAGCTTCATCCCTGAACAGCTTCTATCCCCAAGCCACAAGACTACTAAATTATTAGTCTATTCAAATAGCTACCCCTACTATCTGCATTTACCCTTTTTTGAGTCATCACATACACAAGACTACTAAATTATTAGTCTATTCAAATAGCTACCCCGACTATCTGCATTTACCCTTTTTTTGAGTCATCACATACGCTGCTGCTACTGTTGATTATCTATCCTGTTGCCTAGTCACTTTATCCCTCCAAACCTGTATGTACATAATCTACCTCAATTACCTTGTACCCCTGCACATCGACTCGGTACTAGTACCAATGTGTATAGCCAAGTTATCGTTACTCATTGTGTATTTATTAATCGTGTCATTATGTCAATTTTTTTCTCTGCATTGTTGAGAAGTTCCCGTAAGCATTTCACTGTTAGTTTACACCTGTTGTTTACGAAGCATGTGACAAATAACATTTCATTTGATTTCTATGGAGATGTTTATGAGGATGTGAAGTATTAAGATCACCCACTAGGGGGTGTTATAACCCTAAACTAATGTTGGGAAATGCAACACAGCTCCTCGAACCATATTCTAATCATTGCACTGATGCTTATGGTGATTTTTAGACAGGACCTACACCGGTCATGAACAGACCATCACAATCCAGCAAGCTTTGCGGCAAAGATTTCTGCATAGTCTAAGGTTGGCTACATCTAAACACCAGCCTTTTCCATGTGAGATGATTTAGATGGTAAGCAGGCCATTGATTATTTTCAAATCAAATTTTATTAGTCACATACACATATTTAGCAGATGTTATTGCGGGTGTAGCGAAATGCTTGTGTTCCTAGCTCCAACAGTGCAGTAGTATCTAACAATTCACAACAATACACACAAATCTTAAAGTAAAATAATCGAATTAATAAATATTTTTAATATTAGGATGAGTAATGTCTGAGTGGCATTGACTAAAATACAGTAGAATAGAATACAGAATATACATATAAAATGAGTAAAGCAGTATGTAAACATTATTAAGGTGACTAGTGTTCCATTATTAAAGTGGAACATTACATGTGCTTGCAATTATGATCTGGTGATTAGAACTACCAAAAATGTTTAAATTCAAGGTTGTATTTGAATATGAGTCATCTGCCTGTTTATGACCTAGGTATTTGTGTAATAAAGTGTTCATGAATATAAAAAATACCATCACTATGTAGCCTTCCCAGATACCATGTGTGATGTTTCATGCAAATAAGACACAGAGATTTTCTTTTTTTAAGAACATTGTTGTATTTAACAATGGAATTTTAGAAATAAATAAAGCATATACAATTGAACAAAAAAAGTTTAAAAATGTCAACTTGATGAATGATATTGCCATAATGAGACAACAGCATTTCACTTGACACAGGTAGAAAGTATTGCATTGTTCAATGATTGTGGACCAGAGAACGCCTCTCATCTTCATATCATTTACATACCCTTGCTCAAGTACAAAACAACAAAATGGGTGTATGAAAAGTAATCAGTTACCACCTGGTATCGTAACAATAATGTGCAAATCAATTAAATAATACAGTATTGCATCACTTAAAAGTGCTCTATAAAAGGTGCCAACATTCTTCAAAAAAGAGGAGGAGAATTAAATCCTGTTTCCCCAGAAGCCTTTGCTCCTGGCTCTGATCGTCGCCTGGAGAACTGTCTCTTTAACATGAAAAGAAAAACAATGAACCATTTCACAGGAGTCAGTCCAGTGGCAGCACACACAAGCACTTTTCTACTTTATCTTTTCCCAGTGGTCTGATATCCCAGTGTCTGTTTCTTAGGGGTGTTTGTGCGTAGCTGGGAAATCATCCCAATTAGAAAGTAGACTGGATCTACTAGACATTGGTGGAGTAACAGTGATAAGACAAAAAAACAAGTCAACAACAGGTTCATAGGTCAGTTCCCAATTAAGTCTCCCTCCTCCAACAAGCATTAGGCCAATCAAGATATATGGTCTGGAAAGAAATAGTACCTATGTAACAGACAACACTATGCCTCCATACATGGATGAAAAACGACACATTCTTATCTTGAGAATTAAAACAATTATTATTGGTAAGGCAAAAAAACACTTCTCAAATATCCTGTCTGTATCGATAAACGAATACACATAAAAACATGATCAGAAATACACAACACAATGTAGTGCTTTGGTGGCAACTGGAAGAGAGAGAAACGCATTATTGCTCTACTTGGGGGAGAATACATTGTCTGTATTGCAGTGTTGACTTGAAACGTTATTGTTGTGTAGAGATTTCCCAGTTTATCTGCCTCAGTCTGTTTGAAAAGAAAAGACGCTGGGGTACTTGAGCACATCCAAAAGCGCCAGAAAAAACATCCTATACCTTTTCTGAACAAGGCACTGACCATAAAACAGAAAAAACTAACTTTCCCCTCAAAAGCATATCTGTCCATCTGACCGAGCCTATTACATGGAACACCAGGGGTTGCCCGGCTGTGTAGCAAGGGCTCAGACGTTCAATTGGCACCGTCTCAGAAAGCTAGTCTCTTTATCTCAACGGCCTCTCCTCCTGCACAAGGGGGGCGCTTTTATTCTGTCATTCATCAGCAGTCCTACTCCAGGAGAAGAGAGGAGAGGAGGGGGTGCATGGGAGATAGGATGGGGATGTCAGGGACAGGAAGCCGGACAGGACGCTAGTAGAGCACCTGTCACAACTGAAGAGCCTCCTGCTCTCCATCAGGAAGCCACTAAATGACTGAGCGCTCTTTCTCTCTCTTTCCCCCTCCTCCCCTCTTTGCTCTTTCGTTTTCTCTGCATCTCTGCACACGGCCATTCACCCCTCTCAGCAAGACTGGAGAGGCTTTGGAAAACTCCACAGGAAATGAAAGAGATGGACTGCAACTTAGAAGTCTGCCGCCCCATCCTTCGCACTAAACCAGGGGAACTGCATATCTTCTTGAGCCTGTTTTCAGAAAAAGCTTATTTAATGTTCATTAAATAGTGATGAGTATGTGTGTCATATTCTATACAGTTTTTTGAGTCAGGCAGCAGCATAGGCACCCTCAGTTTTTAATTGTCAATGGACCTTTCAGCTTATACCAGTTAGGAGAAGAGAACCTCTCTCTCTCTCTGCCCTGGATAGTGAGAGGAATGGGGCTGACAGGAGCCCCCCGGGTCAGTTCAGTGTCAATATCTGTCTGTGGGGGCGGGGCATCAGCAGCTGGGCGAGGTTGTGATTGGACTGTGCAGGTAGGCCAGGCTGCTGGGCTGGCCATGTGCTACCACGGAGACGGGGAAGCTGAATATGAAGGGCGAGGTGGGAGTGGAGGAAGACTTGGGGCCCAGGCTGGCTGCCGAGGGGCTGGCGGCCTCCACCGCACATGACGTGGCCAGCACCTGGGACTCAAACTGCAGCAGCTGACCCATGAAGCTGAAATTAGGGGAGATGATACTGCGGCGTTGCTTGACGAACTCAAAGGCTTCGTCCAGGCGAACACGCTTCTTCTTCATCAGGTACGCTAGGCAGATGGTGGCAGAGCGAGAGATGCCCGCCTGGCAGTGTACCAGCACACGCCCGTTAGAGTCTTTTACCGAGTCTGAAGAGAGACACAGAGAGATATGGGGTTCAGAATTGACTCCAGGATATAGATATGCACAGGATAGGTAATACATAGTGCTCAGGATGATCTGTTGTCATGGTCCATAAGCTTTGTTGATAGACACTTCTAATAAAGCTGTGTGTGTGTCAGTCACCAGATCTCCACCCAATTGAACACTTATGGGAGATTCTGGAGCGGCGCCTGAGACAGTGTTTTCACCCACCATCAACAAAACACCAAATTATGGAATTTCTTGTGGAAGAATGGTGTTGCCTCCCTCCAATAGAGTCCCAGACACTTGTAGAATCTATGCCAAGGCGCATTGAAGCTGCTCTGGCGGCTCGTGGTGGCCCAACGCCCGATTAAGACACTATGTTGGCGTTTCCTTTATTTTATATACAGTTTCCAGTATATCCTGCATCCAAGACACCTACAGCAGCCCTTTCCATACATAAACATTTCTCACCATGAGAAATAGCAACAACAGGGGATATGCCCTCATCACAGGGAGGCCATTCTGAGTAGTAATGCACACATATTTCTACATAGGTAGAATTTCATAAATACTAATTAAAACACAGACATGTGGTATCCCGTTCTATACAAGTGCAGTCGTGTTCTCTCGCGTGCACACACACAGGTAACTCCAACTAACGCGGCGGCGCACCCAAGAACAGTGGATGAGTCAGACTCTGATCCCTAAGCAGCCAGCTCTGACGCATTTAAGCCCATACACGCTTATACACACACACACACACACCTCCAAGCCTACTGGGGTCTCCACACAACATTGCAGAGGTTTTCATGTGGAGTGTGACACACCATAGAGTGTGTGTATTCCACCAAGATGGAACTTCTAGGAGCTACGCCCTCCTATCCTCCCTCATGCTAATCCCTAACCATTAGAGACCCCAATGACTATAGCTCAGCACTCCTCTCCCTCCGTCACCCATATCAACAAAGCATTTTGAGCATGGGCAACACTCACACTGAGATTCTGCATGCTCACATTATTTACTAGCTATTTATTACCAATTATTTATTCTAAAATGTTCTCCCTTCAGTTAGGCTATTACCTGGCACGGAATGAAAATGTTCTCTCAAATACATTATTCCTCCCAGGTTAGAAAAATACTTCAAACCATTACTCATAAACTAGCATTAATTACCAAAGGAGCCATCTGTACAACATGTTCTTGAAAAGCTATCAATTAAAGTAAGAATCTCTTCCCTGCAAGAAGACAACCTTCCATCACATGACCAAATTAACATTCTACTGAGCTATAATGCAGCTGGACCATGTAATTCTCGTTCTGCTCATGATGATGATGAGGATGAAGAATATGTATTAGTTTGCGTCCCAAATGGCACCCTGTTCCCTTTATAGTGCACTACTTTGACTCGGGTCAAAAGAAGTGCACTATAGGGAATAGGGTGTCATTTGGGATATATCCTATGTATTCTTCTAAGAAATTGAAACTTACCGATAAACTCAATGGCTTCTATGAACCAGGAGCTGATGTCCTCTTTGTGGTTGTCCTCCACAGGAATGCACTTGTACTGGTAGACCCCCTCGAAGTGGTTGGGACAGTTAGAGGACACATTGAGCAAGGCCGAGATGCCCATGCCGTCCAGCATGTCCTTTTTGGAGGCATGGAAGGCACTGCCAAGGTACAAGAAGGGAAGAATCTCCACTGGACCAGCCTGGAACATTGAGAAGACAAAGTGGGCATTAATACAGAGCCAAGAGAGAATAGAGGCACGTTTACAGTCATAATGTATTTTTCAAACATCACAAAGTAACACAATTAATAGGACTGGAGAAACAGCCTATTGACAATTTAAAATCATCAATAAATAAAAAGGTTCTGATAAATACAATTTACAGTGTGCACTTTTTATGTGCATGATTTTAATAGAAAGGTGGCAGCAATAGGGGTCTGAAATGTGATCGTATAAAATATAGGCCAATCACCAATGACAATGATTTTAACTCCAGCAGGTTATTTATCTCTGAACAGCTTATTGATTGGGCTCTGTTATGTCATTGCTGATATGGGCCCCGCTTCAAACGGCAGAAATGATCGATAAGGCCTATGTAAAACAGATATGCATAGAGAAGGTAGGCCGGGGCAATGTTCGTCAAACACAGGCCTACCACCCCTTCCAGCAGGGAGAGAAAAAACGGAGGCACAACTGGTGCTCTTATCGAGCCCGGAAACCAGTAGATGGCCAGAACTTACGAGTCCCCTAGTATTTCACTCAATGCCACATATTCAGTCAAACTCGGTCACCGAGATAAACAGGTACCCTTCTTTACCTGGTCATGGTGCAACGTCTGTGGAGTTCCACAGGAAGAACAGGAGTCCAAACTGGACTGGGTAGAGAACGAAGATAACGTTTTGGTCTTCAAACAGAACTCGGGATACTCCGTGAAAAATGTGTCATAGCCCCCTGTGAAAAGAGATTAACGTTAGACATCAGGATATTCCAATCACAGGCCACACTCAACACAAAATAATAGCGCACCTTCTGCGTTAACAAACTACTGTATCATTTACTAATTAGGCCTACCTAGCATAATAGGCCTACAGATCATAATTTTTTTCAATAACAACCAAATTAAATATTTCTGAATAATTACATAAAACATTATAGAACACAATCATAATTAGTATTTCAATTTCTTCAAATGTAATATATAATTTGGGTAGGCCTATGCCTAGTGGTTAAGGCCTGAATTAAATGTGAAAATATAGTAAATAGTTGAATAGATTTTTACTAATTGCATTTCCCCAATAACTTCCAATAATTTATTGAGAAATACTCTTGTGTGATTTTCTGGCAACACTTCATGCTTCAATGCGTGTGCGTCATTTAAATCTATTTTGTATAATGAAATTGCGAGCAATTTGCAACAATAACCATTATAAAATAACCTTTTTACATGTAAACATTTGCTGATGTGAAATCTTGATGATGAACCAATTGTTGAGGATCACAAGACACTCACTGCGGCACATCCTCGTACACCCAGATGTGGCTCTCTACGCATTACCTCATTGTTAGAGCCTAATGCCCATTTGTGGGTTGAATTGTGCAGCAATACAAAAACGGCACTACATATACCCTACAATTTTAAGATGATTGAGAAAGTATAATAATAACATGGTAATAACACATTTGTCAGATATAATGAGACAGATGTGATATTTATGCTTGTAAACAAAGTCAGCATTGGGTATGTTTTTAATTCTGATAACCTAAAGTGCATTGTGATAATTTTACCTTTTAGTAGATATATTTCAGTTCCAAATGTGTCTCTGTATAATGCATTGAGCACCAGAGTGATTGTGCTATCGTCTTTAACCGTGTCTATATCGGGCGTCCTCTCGTCGTAGAGAATCACAGCGGAGTACAGTCCTGATTTCAGCCGGGCTTTGACCTCTTCATCACCCGATAGAATCTGGTCTAAACTCACGCAGCCCTTTGCTCGCCTTCTCACAATGGTGTTACAGCGGATATTCACTGCGCTCCGAATGTGTCCAGCGCTAAACGCCAGGAATGATCTGCAGTCCAGCACCAGACATTTCGCACTGTCGTCCTTCAACAACCTTTTCAAAACGTTGCAATCCATTTCGCAAAGTTCATCCATGATAACCATATTTTCCCCCATAATGAAGAAAAATTTGTTTTTCGTGTTGAAGAACACGAAGAGAGTGCTGGATGTGCGTTAATCCTGGGCAGCTCCTGCGCAATGTTGTGCTGTTATTCTTCTGAGAGCATTACTATCACGAGCAGTCACCTCTTTCCGTTTTATGAATGGGGTGGTGGCGTCACGCTGGAGGTGACGTCACCCGCTAGTACCATTCATTATCCATTCTCTCCTTTCTCTTCATTCATGAAAAGTCAACAATCAAAGCCGACAGAAGATGAAATTACCGCTGCCAAACCTCGAAAATTAAGTTGACTCTATTCTTAATGACAGCAAAATGCAGTAGTCTATTTATTTTCCCAAGATAGTCAAAATGTTCTGTAATTATATATAGTCTACCATGTCTAGGCTATTTAATCATTTACTATTTTATATTCCTCCATAGGAAGATCAATTTGTCAAATTTTATGAACGTGTTATATGCCTTTGCCATTCTTGATTTAGATTCTAAGTAATATACCTTTGTGAATAGGGTACAGACCAGTGGAGGCTGGTGGGAGGAGCTATAAGAGGATGTGCTCATTTTAATGGCTGGAATGGAATTAATGGAAAAGAGTTTCAATATGTTTGATTCCATTTCAGCCATTACAATGAGCCTGTCCTCCTATAGCTCCTCTCACCAGCCTCCTCTGGTACATACTATGCTTTCCCTCCCCCACTCCCTTTCTCTCAACTGGATGCCAGAGGGCCAGGATACCTCTCTTGTTTGCTCACACAGCCATTACAGGATCCTGCAGGATATGACCAATGATATTCGCCCAAACTTGTTTTTATCAACAGGATCAGAGTGTTGAAAGCAGAATATACAGATTTTCTCAGTTTCAAGCAGTCAGTAGTTTCACTGTTCTGTTCCATGGCAGCTGCCTTCTAGAACATTCACACCTCATCAGTAGGCTATCCCTCACTTCCACTGTGAAGGGGGTGGGGGGCTCTACAGACGGCTATATCAGTCTCTAATACAGGACTAGTAAAGGCCCAGTGCACTACTTTAGTGAACAAAAAAATTATAATTGTAATTGTATTTTTTGCCTTTTGGTTTTAATTTAAGGTTAGTGTTAGGCATAAGGTTAGCGGTGTGGTTAAGGTTAGGGTTAGGTTTCAAATTAACATTTAAGAAGATAGGCAGGGATTATCATTTTGTGGCTGTGGTAACTAGTGATGACGAGGATAGACCAGGTAACTAGTGATAAACCATTACATTTTTTGTTAACCAAATTCGACACTCTCTCATTGACCTCTAAAAAAAAAACGCCACCTGCTGGAGAAGACAGATTTTGGGTCCAGTTATCCCTCTCGCTTCGCCTCTTCCTCGCTGATGAGCCTCAGTAATGGAGTGTTGTGCCAGAAACCCCATTGAGTGTTTTCAATTGTTTTTGTTTTCCTCTCCTATAATTGCAGCATTGTTGCTCTCCCTATCAGAAGAAATCCCATTATAATCCGCCCTGAATATTTTTTTCACTGACATCATTATTAACGAACTGTTTCAATTTATTGTCATGGTTGAAAATCACTCTCTTTTCTTTCTATTCTCACACTCCATGTTTTATTTCTGTCAGATATCTACTGGAGATCTGTCCTCCATGTCCACTCTACTTTGTCTCTCTCTGAGTGGTTTTGATCAAGCATTAGTAAACAAGACATTCACAGAGGAAGTCACGGCTTTAAAAGAAGGAAGCATAATTGATTTCCTCAGACAGATCTGAATGAATAGATGAAGGCACCACATTGAGTATCCACAGAGTGATTTCCTGATTGTTTGTTGTGGTGTCATTGTCACTAAAGTCTGATTAAGGTTCAATGTCTCTGGAGAGTTTCAGTTCTTAATGCCCCATTCTCACTCAAGTGTCATCATTACCAATAATAATTCAGAGAACATGTCATGTCATTAATCTTACAGAGGTTAGTGGTTCACTACGCACATATAACTGCCAAAATAAAGGAAACACCAACATAAAGTGTCTTAATAGGGCATTGGGTCACCACAAGCCAGAACAGTTTCAATGCACCTTGACATATATTCTACAAGTGTCTGGAACTCTATTGGAGGGATGCAACACCATTCTTCCACAATAAATTCCATCATTTGGTGTTTCATTGATGATGGTGAAAAACCCTGTCTCAGGCGCCGCTCCAGAATCTCCCATAAGTGTTCAATTGGGTTGAGAACTGGTGACAGAAGGACATGGCATATGGCTTACATCGTTTTCCTGCTCATCAAACCATTCAGTGATAATGGCCTGCCCAGCATTTTTATACATGACCCTAAGCATGTTAATTGCTTAATAACAGGAACCACACCTGTGTGGAAGCACCTGCTTTCAATACACTTTACATCCCTCATTTACTGAATTATTTCCATTATTTTGCAAGTTACCTGTATATAGTGTCATAGCCTACTGTAGTCTCTCTCTCTCTCTCTCTCTCTCTCTCTCTCTCTCTCTCTCTCTCTCTCTCTCGCTCTCACTCTCAAAGGTAAAAGTGTATCATTTGCATAGTTTAACACAAACCTTTCAGAGTGCTCAGGTATTTGCATGTTGATTTCATCTCAATGGCTTCGGTAAGGTAGGGTGGAGATGAGGTTATTGCCTTACCTCCATAACTTGCTACATTTGCACACACTGTATATATATTTTCTGTTGTATCTCTGACTTTATGTTTTTTTTTTTTACCCCATATGTAACTCTGTGTTGTTTTTTGTTGCACTACTTTGCTTTGTCTTGGCCAGGTCACAGTTGTAAATGAGAACCTGTTCTCAACTGGTTTACCTGGTTAAATAAAGGTGAAATAAAAAAATAAATAAAAAAAGGTGACACAGGGCGGATGTGTTAATGTAAACATTAACACAACATCCTGAGCTGCAGGACACATGGGAGACGGACAGACTGACTGCACTCTGCTACTATACAGAAAGGCTAGATAGGTATCAGAAATAGTGTCCAGGTTACAGTAAGACAGCATAACAGAGGACAAATAGTAAATAAGAATTTCCTGTGAGTATCCTGAGGTGTCAGGCGTACTGGCAGTGTTGCATTGCGGTACCAGCTGAATAATGAATGGGAGGCCTTGAATGTTTCAGAGCAGAGAGGATGAGAGAGAGAGGTGACGTGTGTGTGTGTGTGTGTGTGCAGCAGGAGGATATTCAGTGGTTTAACATCCAGGCCAGTGTGACAGCATGTGCACAGTGGTCAGAAGTCAGAATGGAATTTGTCCTGCTGTCACCATGGCTCCCAGCGCCACGTATGCATGCAATGAGACAAAGCTTCAGCTCGCAGGGAGCTGCAATGAATCTCAGCCGTCATGGCAACAAGGGAAAGGTATATGAAGTGGGTGAGCGCTGGATGCGGCTGTCATTGGATGTGTGTGTTAGTGTGTGTGTGTGACCCTTCTCTGTTCTGTTTGACGTCATTATACTCCAATCCCCCCCCCACCCCCCCCACCCCACCCATCCGCCGGTCCCCATCACATCACACCCCAGGAGAGGACACCCAGGCAGGCACACAACACAGGCTGGGATCCCTCCACATCCTCCCAAACACACACTACTCCCAAGTGAACCTTCATTTTTCTCCTCTCACACACTCCTTGCCCCATCCCTCCCTCAATGGAATGATAAACATCCAGCACTTTGCATGCTGTGTAGGGTATGAGTCACCCGTTGAAGCCATGGGAATACATCCCACTCTGTCGCCCTCCTTTCTCCTCTGCTCTGCTCTCAGGGCAGCTGTGTCTCCCTCCCTGACTCCACCAGTATGTTTGTCTGCCTCAGTTCATCCACTGTCTCTCCTTCTCTCTTTCTCCCCCTGTCTCAGGTTCATGGAAACCACTCACATTCCCAATGCACAAATGTCTCTGTACCTTGCACTCTAAATCTTTTCTCCATAAACCCTTTTAATCCAGTATTTAAGCCTCAACTGAGAGTGGTGTGTTTTTATGAATGCGTATGTGGTTTCTTGGTATAGGTGTGTGTCTCTATATGTTTATATGGGACAGAAATAGAGATGGGTGGGCAGGTTGCATGTGTGAATCATGAGAACAGGTTGCATATGTGTTATGTATGTTTTTGTCCCAGGCTTTAGATTAGATTGTAACACCAGACAGCTTGATTTCTCTTGGGATTGCTGGACTGGGCTGAGGGAGAGGGCGTTGAAGGTAGACCGAGAACCATTCAAAAAGGACAGAAGGTCAATTCAACTAATTTTCCTTCTGTGGAAATTCCTCCAAGTTTTGTTTGGGTCATAGACGAGTTGCCCTCTCATCATGGCCAAATATGTAGTAGGGCTCTGGATAAGCATTATTCACTACATCAGGCTATGAGATGCATATGTTGTACCATGAGGAAGTAGAGTTCAAAGAAACCCAACCACATGAATGTAATGTAGACGGCTACATTTGGGAACATTGTATATACCAACTACTTTTTCTAAGTTAAGAAAAATGTAATATAACATGTGTAGTGTATGACGTTAAACGTCAATACACTACAGAGCAGCACTAGACAGTGGTGTTTTTTGGAAAAATCTGTGAGTTAATCAATGACCTAGTTACTGTGTCAATAACCCCAACCCGTCTGTTGACTTCTCACCTGTTTGCTAGTGTTGGATCTGTAAAATAGTATATTGGTTGGGCAGCAGGCTTCAGTCCAGGCATGGAAAGTTCACCCTAGCCTCAGTGCTTGTTGGCTTATTGAGGTTGGGACTTTGGAATCCACAGCTCCAACTCCATTGTGGATGTTATGTGACTTGACAATTTCCTTCTCTTTATGTATTACATTTACATTTTACATTTTAGTCATTTAGCAGACGCTCTTATCCAGAGCGACTTACAGGAGCAATTAGGGTTAAGTGCCTTGCTTAAGGGCACATCGACAGATTTTTCACCTAGTCGGCTCGGGGATTAGAACCAGCGACCTTTCGGTTACTGGCACAACGCTCTTACCCACTAAGCTACCTGCCGCCCATGTACTGTGCATTCATACAGGGTTTGAATTGTTGAGGTACGTTCAATGCACAGTAACAAGCAGAAATGGAATCCGCAACTCGCTGGTTTGAAAGGACATCTTTTATGTGGCTGGGACCATGTGATGAGTGTAAG